ACTAGTGACAGACTTGTCTTCTAATTGTTTTATTTTCGCCCTAAAAATGTTCATTGGACGCCGAGGGATGCCGAAGAAGATATACAGCGACGACGCCACCAATTTCGTCGGCGCCGACCGCAAGCTGCGCGAGCTGAGAGACGCGTTCCTAGCCCATCAACCAGAGGTAGAGAAATACGCGGCGACCGAAGGATTCAGCTTCGACTTTATACCACCCAGGGCGCCGCACTTCGGCGGGTTGTGGGAAGCGGCAGTGAAGTCCACCAAACACCTTCTCGTGCGCGCAATCGGCAACGCGCTGCTCATCGCCGAAGAACTGCAAACGCTGCTCGCGGAAATAGAGGCGATTCTGAACTCTCGGCCACTCACACCAATGAGCCAGGACCCCAACGACGGCGAGGCGCTAATACCAGCGCATCTGCTAATTGGATGCCCACTGCGGGCGCTACCACCAGCGCAGGTACCAACGGACCCAATGCGTTGCTGCGACAGATGGCAACTTGTTTGCTGTCTTAAGCAACATTTTTGGCGACAGTGGTCCAAGAATTACCTCACGGGCCTTCAGGAGCGCAACAAATGGCTCTACCCGCAGCGCAATCTGCAGCTCAACGACCTCGTCCTGGTTCAGGAGGACAATATCCCAACTCAGCAGTGGGTGCTCGGCCGCTCGCCGCAATCGTTCCAGAGCTAGACGGCAAGGTTCGAGTCGCAGACGTCGTAACCAAAGCGGGCGTAACTAAGCGCCCAATTCACAAACTCGCGCACTACCCGTTGAAGTTGAAGGATCCTGATCCTGTCAAGGTGGCCGGTGTTGCGCCAGATTTTCTAGTTTTGAATTCCTAATTGAAAATGAGTTATTAACATAAATATATTTCGAAATTAAATTATTATACTTACCTCACTTACTAAATAAACCTATTGTCTAACATACTTACCACTTACATACATATTTACCCGATTTATATTCAACTACCTATTTGCTCTATACTTACCTTATTTACATATTTCTACATGCATACTTACATTATTATTGTACATAATTTCTTAAAGCCGTTGAACTCATATACTTGTTATGTACATAATAACAACTACCCTAAGCCGTTAGTTTTAAGTCGTAGGCTAAGTGAGA